TATATAGTATATACTATATATATATATATATATATATATATATATATATATATATATATATATATATATATATATATATATATATATATATATATATATATATATATATATATATATATATATATATATATATATATATATATATATATATATATATACATGTATATTTGTGTCAACTATTTGTAGATAACACATTTTTTAATTGTCAAATATGCCCCGATTCAGCGCTGGCATATTATCTCTTATTATTGTGTTATTTTATTATTGAAATAAACCTGTTATTCATTCATTCATTTATTCATTCAAGTGCCATTGGGACACACAGACACACATGGACACACACAGACATACCAAAAACAATACCTCCATTTTTCATGGAGGTAATTACCACCTTATGCATATACTTCTGAGTCTAAACCATTCAATCACATCAAATAATGACTGAAATTATACTACGAGATGACAGTTACCGGGACATAATTGATTTGAAAGTGGACGTGAATATTATAAATGATACCGAAGCTGCCATGAGAGTCGTGGTGATATTTGCCAGACCACCGCGGATTATAGCTATAGCGTGCGGAGAGAGGAAATCTCTTATTCAGGAGTTCTAGTGTTACGTGTGAAGTCGTGACCTTTCCAGTAATTCTCTTATATACCCTGCACTACACGGATGGCTGATGCCTTTCAGAATAGAAAAAATATATATACTACTGGATTCAAAAGCAAGGTTCTTGCTCTTACAATAATGTTTGTAGGATTCAGTTTCAGTTTATTTATTTCACCAGCAGTAACACTCAGGTACATTGAACAACCTGTTTTTCAGGCAATGGTGGGTACACTAAGGACGGATAACAAACTATACGAAATTACGATATCACATACGATTCAGAATGACATAACAAAAAACTCACACAATTTTACCTCTCATTTCATCATGACATCACATATTCGTCTCGACCAGTTATACCAACTTATTTTATGCCGCCACCAACACAGAGGACGAATATGAGACAATAAATACTCATTTTCACTTGAGTTAAGTGAGGAAAGTCGTGTAAAGTACCTTTCCCAAGGGCACAAGATCGGTGGCATGTCAGGACTCGAATTCGGGACCTCTTGGTTCCGAGTCGAGCACGCTGCCGCTACGCCACACGACCCCAGTAAGCATTAATTCAGACTTCACAGATCAAGTCGTAATATCTTTCAATGCTTGTGAATTTTATTTTTGGTCGTTAGTTTAATACAGTGACGAACGGTAAGACTCTATACATTTGCATGAGCTGTTTAATGTTGTTCACAGTCGCCAGTATAATTCACGATTTGTCCCTGAAGGTCTGACTTTTATGTAGTTACCTCTTTCATTTACACGTATACATTGAGCAGATAATGTGATAGGCACAATAGCCGGGGTTTTATAGATTGCCATTGAACCTGACTTCAGCCACGATCTCTGAGTAATCTAGAATCTAACAGAGTAAAAGATAAATGTTAGGCGAGAAATTGCTCTATTTCCTATATGTCGCTGCGCGAAGAATGTCCCTATCACTTGCAATTGTGCCGCAACCATTAAGAGTTGAATGAGATATCGCTGCAGCGGATTATTTTCTGCGAAACTGCAAATGGTCTGCAATATTCTAAAGGATACGGATGACCCCAGGCTCCCTCACCGCAAAGTTTGGAAGGGCTGTCCCGCTGGATGTCACGAATCAAGCCGTGAGAGATAGAACTAATTTCCCCTGCCGGCCATGCCAGCGGGATGAGACAAAGTAGCAAAGCACTTTTACTATATTACTTCTGGCAATGATGGAATCTTGACCCGCTGCGCGAAGGGATATTGAATAGTGACGTTACTTTAGTGAATGGTGCACACTGACGCTGGCAATTTTCTCTCCACGGGTCCCCACTTCGTCTGACATTTTGCACAGCGTGTCGTATGTTCATGTGCATCACATGCAGTTTTTAGGGCTTGGAAACACGATTTTTCAAAGCCAATATTCTAGTCATTTATCTACACACTGAGTTGAAACCACACTATCCCAATGTATATTGACCCTCATGGAGCAAAAATCCCCAACATTCTGACGGAAAATCGTTACTGGAAGGACCCTGGGCTGATTTTTCACCGTGGACTTTTAGAGTACCACCCCGAAAATAAAGGGGTCATCTTGGGGATTGTTTCTGCAGTTCTAAATGCCCAAAGTATATGCTGACGCAAATGTGCTAATGTGAAGCAGTATGTGTCACTATCACAAAGATTGCCTTATGCAGAATATTTCAAGTTTTGCTGCTCGGAAAACTCATTGGATGCCTTTAACTAAAGCCTTTCGAATTTCTGTCAACTTGTTATGTAGCAACGTGCTTCAGTTCAGTGTTAAAGACGACAAGAAACCAATGACACTGAAATACAACAGTTTTGTGAGGTCGTGTGGCGTAACTGCAGAGCGTTCGGCTCGGAACCGAGAGGTCCCGAGTTCGAATCCTGCCATGACACCGATCTTATGCCCTTGGGAAAGGCACTTTACACGTATTTCCTCACATAACTCAGGTGAAAATGAGTATGTCTGTTTTCCATTCTGCGTTGGTGGCGGCATGAAAATAAGTTGAAAAAAAACAACAACTTGTGTCTTGTTACAAATGTTGGAATAGAAAAATACAGTACAGTTCCTGAAAATAGTCAAAGGTGCTAGGTATTATTAATTAAACAAATAGCTTTGGATTTCCCCTTCTCTAGATGAACTGAAAAAAAATGTTTATCAGCTAAAATGGTACGGCCACCTTTAGTTAGTCAAATAACCAATACTTTTTATACTTCCGACACTCAAACAAATCCGGTTATATTTCTGATTGATTTTTTTACAGCTTTAGTCGTTAATAAAAGAAAATAACAAGCTAAAGCCCCTACGGCCGGCCTATTTGGATGTGATAATCGCTATTTTAGCCCGCAGCACCAGAAAAGAGATTTGAAGGTATCCTTTTAACGGTTTATCCTTCCCGGGGGAGACACGATAATACCAGCCGAAATGTGTAATTTTCCGAAGAGGGCTTTTACAGGCCACGCCAGAGTCGTTTGGGCCATGTAAAAGTATTATGAGCGCCAATTTGCAAGCCTCTACAAGCCTCTATAGAAGACCATTCTCTCGCTGATACATCGAAAGCTCCCTTTATACGGAGACGTGGAGAAATCAAGTATAACGACATCGTTATTGGATTCAAAGTCATATAGAGGCATGCATTACACTGCACAATATCCATTCTTTACGTACACCCTAAAGCGATATTATGTAAGATTTTTGCGCCAAAACTGTGAATCCAAATAAAAATTTTCTCATCTAGATTGTCATTTTCAATGACTTTCAACGTATTACTGATTAGCATCGCTATTTTTCTGGCTCTGACTCGGTGCGAAAATAAGTTGCACCAGGCCGGCTGTATTTTAGGAGGCTCCTAAAAATAATGTAAACAAACAGCGGTTAACAAACCGCGAGGATTCATCAGATTTCCAACACGTTTTTGTGGCGTAAAGGTTCAGTTTCTTCACCCAAAGCTGCTTGCATGTACCTTTACCTGAGCTTCAAATGCCGGTGTGTTAAAAGATATGATTTCGTGTAGTATTAGAATGTGATACGCAGTCTAGATATATTGTACCTGAACAGCAAGCAATATTGTTCACTACCCAACCCCCATGTAATATCATGTCTTATAGTGAGAATACTTGGAGGGATTTTTGTTGTCAGCATGTGGCTTCTCCAGCAGCAAAGCTTTATGATTTCTATTTGCGTGTTTATGAAAGCAATTTCTAGCAAGATCTCATAAAGTTCTATTGCTATATCAAAAAGATATCAATATCCATTAAGTGTATTTCTTTCGACAGTCTTTTTTTATCAAGGGGTTTGCACGCGTTCAGCGTTTGTTATATATTTAATATCATACCGGCAGACGATGCAAAATGTAATATGACCTTGACCTCTTCTGGGAAGATCCAGTTCGATTAAAATGCCCTTTTCATAAAGATTTACAAAGGTCTTGCGAAATGGTATCATAATTTGTAATTTGACAAAATATATTCAATTCAATTTTTCAGGACAATGTTATACACGTACTTATGAGTGTCACCAGTCTAGAAAATGCTATATAATCGAAATAATAAATTTCTTGCCTTAGCCAAGGAGAGAAATTCATAGATTTTGAGACGTACGTACAATTACATTCAGATCTACGATGCAGGAGTTTTTTCTGATCAATTGTTAATGGCAGCCTGGTATGTAAACCTGAGTGACCCCAGTGTCAGCCGTCTGTGCCTCAAGGGAAGTAGCCTTTAAGTATAGCCAGGGTAAGTCTGACTAAATTACTGATCACAACTATATAAGCCCTGGACTGAACAAGACTATTTCCTGAGAGGGGTGAAGGAGGCTACATACATCTGGGCCCATCACCCTTCACTGAACCGCGACGGGGGCCGACATCGTCAACCAGATACCTTTGACCCAATGTTGACCTCACACTTCAAAGAACCCATGTGACAAGCCTCGAGCTCACTGGGTCAGTCTAATGAGGAAGACCATTGTGTTGGATCTGAAGTTTTAACTCTAAACATGTAACTACCAAGTTGAACACAGATGAACTTTCATGATAATATATAAGCCCTAGGTATGAAAATTTGCTTTGGTGTTGTACGCTTTGTATACTAATCTTTAATATGTAAACCCATTGACACACAGTCATCTACAACAAACTACACAGAGTAAGATGTAAAACTTTCATTTTAATATAGTATCTACTTCTGAACGGCTGCACCCACAGTAATAGTGAGGTATAACGAACATGGCTATTCCTGAGTATAGGACCGCCAATGGCCTCGTGATCATTGTCAATAGTCAACAGTGCTCTAAGCCTACTGTCAACTCATTAAAAGCAACAAACAAGCTTGGGCAACTTTGTCAACATACTATAAAAGCTTACTGTAGTATCCGTTGGCTACATGCATGGTTGGATATCATATGGCTTTTGGCTGTTTTTTTTATAGAAGGTTATTTTCAAATGTTAGTCTCCACCAGACTCTTTAGCAGGCTGAATAAGTAGTAGAAATCGGCCTAAAAGAATGTAGCTGGCCAGGGGAGTTAGCCGGCCATAAAGGGTTCATTTTGCCGGCATGGCCGGCTAACTCCCCTGGCCAGCTACATTCTTTTTAGGCCAATTTCTACTATTTATTCAGCCTGCAAAGGAGTCTGGTGGAGACTAGTCAAATGTGCTGTACATGTTGCCATTATACAATGTTGATCATTACACTGAGACTATTACCTTCAAGGTTTGTATTACGATAGGGGCAACTTTTACAGCCATTTACATCAAGCTTACTGTGTACCGTGTATGATTTGCTTCACTCACCGAATAAGATTGAATATTGCCAACAATGAGGCTTAAACATGTAAAATCATTTCTGAGCGCGGTGTTTTCATCAGCTTTAATTATTCATAATTCCTTATCTAGATTCTATGCAACACAAAAGAACAAAAGGGCATATCTATATAATAATATCACTAAATCAATTCGTGTAGAAAGGGACGGTTTATCTTAGAAAAAAATCTGAAAGGCTCCATGAGTTCTTAACGTCGATCCAGCGGATTGGTCAGGAGACCCGACAGGACTGGTGACGAAGTGCACGTAAAATGCTGACGTCATTGGTGCACTACTTCCACCACGTCAGGGGTACGTCATCCACAAGTAGGAAACCGATAATATAACGTGCATTTTTACATCACACTCCAAGGCATGGTACCGGCCCTGCAAAATACAACAGAATAAAACAGATAAGTGAGGTACATGAAACTTTGAACTGTTACAAAGACATCCGAAAATAATCAAAGCATCAAGTTGGTATAGCATTGGATATCGGGTTTTTTTTTTTACACAACCAGTAAAGATTCCCACCTACTTACGTTAAATCACGTTATTTAACCACGTTTGGGATTGTTTAATCGCCGGGAAGCTCAGTCAGAAGCTCTAGAGATATGAGAAAGATATCTGAAAGGTATCGAAATGTAATCAGGGGAGAGGCTCTACTGGTTGTGTAAAAGAAAATTCTAATATGCTGCTTCAAAGGTCTTTCTTACAAAACAATAAGTACATTAGGCTTGGCTTAAAAGCTGCATCTTCTTATTTCCAAACGTTTCGATTGCTTTATTAAAATCAATCCTGACATTATGACAGCTCAATGATGCATTATACATGGTTTATCACTCCGGCCGTGCGTTGTTGTCCACAAATTTAGCAGTTGTTGAGACTGAAAGATGCAAACACAGTGTCACATTTGCCAGCCAGTAGTTATTTGTAAAGCAGTTATCATTTGACACCGGGAGCTGGCGTCAAAAAGATACAAGTAAAAAAAAAACAGTAAAGAAAGTCTAAACGCAGAAAAACACGTCAAAAATAAGCCCCAAAAAACTTTTGCTTTAAGAGTATTTAGAAGCAGTTCCTAACGTTCGTTAATGGTTAATCATGATTGACAAGTGTACAGTAAAAGCTGTGGAAGATCAATGCAAAGCGTGATTTTTTTCCTTCAAAGTTTGTGGATCTTACTTGAAGGACGTCCTTACTTCTTGGCGAGTGTCTTAAGGGTGCGGTTGGACGTCTCCAGTGACGTGACGTGAGCCTTCATCTTGTCCATCTCCATCTGAAGCTCGGACACACGATCGTTGGCGTACCGCAGCTGAGGGGGGGGGGCAGATAATACTGTTAAGAACACAATCCTAGCTATTTTAAGTGTAAGAAGACTGGGTTATTGTTTGCATGACTCTGCCATGATTTTATGATTTTGAGGAAGCCTTGGTACCCTCCCCTCCCCTGAGTGTATAGTGCACGAGCCCTGGGGTCACAGAAAGTACATGTAGGGCATCCGGCAGACAGGTTTTCCCAAGGGTCTCCAGGAATGTGTGCATGTCAACAAACAGAGCTGGAATACATTCCTGTGGACATTCCATGCCTGTGGACAAAATGCCTGTACAATTCCTAGAATTCTTGTGAACTGGACACAATACTGTACCATTAGGCTCCTCCCTGAGACGTCGCCAAAAACGTGAACTTGGTATGAGGAAGATTGAGAAGATGGTCATAGAACTTCTGGGAATAATTATCTTCTTTCCTATAAGACACATCCATACTGAATTCTACTGATCATTATTGTCAAACATTTGGAAAAAATACAGTAATTCATACAAAAATGCTGCATACAGTCTTTCGTACTTATGAAACCAACCTTAATTTAGGTTTTTTAGATAGATTTTTATTGCCTTCTTTGTTTGGAATACAACTTCGGCAGAATAGAGTAGAGAATGCTGAAGTCTTACCTCTCTGTCGAGTTTTCTGTTCTCTGATATCAAGTCGTCATTTTTGCTCTGCACTTCATTCAAGTCCTGTTTGTAACGTTCCACTTGTCCCTCTAGACGCTTGATCTGGAAGAATGTTTTTTCAAATTAAGACTAAAGTGTTAACTCTTTAGCCTGGGTACCATCCGGATTTTCGCTACGCAACGCTCGAAAAAATCGTGATTTTTTCGAGCGTTGCGTAGCGAAAATCCGGATGGTACCCAGGCTATTAACTCTTTTATGGAGATTAATCGTTTACAATGGAAAAATTCTATTAAGAATAAAAATCTCAGATCCTTAGATTTACTCCTCCATAGCAGACTACTATTTAACAATTTAACTCAAGGCTCTACTATGTTGTTGCATTCCAAAAATTACTATACATGACATTGTTCCAACACGAAGTGAAATGTAATTGTTGTATTCCAAAACGTGGTCCATTTCGAAACGTGGTGCATTCCAAAACGTGGAATAACACATCTCTCCTCATTTATTGTATTTAGGCCACAACAAGTACTTTTTATGCTTGGCATCAACGCGCGTATTAATTTTCGCCTGACTTGGGAAAAATTTGCTCTCTTTTGACAGTGGTCACCATGTCGAAAATGGGCAAAGATGTCTGTTGCCATGCCGGAATGTGGATGGCAGATAAATATGAAGAGAGGAGAAAAGAGAAGGCTCTTATGCAGTGATACATTTCATACCTTTTATGTGATTGTGATGTTCCCACTGAATCAAAACCATTTGTTCAATGGTTTGAAAGTTTAATTTTTCAGTGACAAATGCATATCGATGTGGTAATAGCTATAGTTAGCAGTAAGCTTAGCACAATATACTATTAGATATTATTTCTTGTTAAACAATGGTTGTGAGGTCAAAATTTGAAACGTACGAATCTTATTTTTTGGCCGGCCTTTTTTTTAGCCCCACCGCATTAGATTTGGAGTCTGCAACCGGAGGATGTCATCCATAAAATTTACTTACTTGGTCCCAAATGACTTAAAAGCTTATTTAAGAAACTGGCATTTTTCAAGTGCAACAGCATAACGTAGATTTTATGCCAATTTCTGGTCTTAAATTGACCATAGCATAAGTTTTAAACATCTTAACACCAAATCTCTTCCTGATTGTCTGGAAAATAGCTGTACTAGTATAACAAGTTTGATAAATGTCAACAGAATGCGATAAATACAGAGTAAGAATAACATAACGATGAACGTTGCCATTGGCGCACCCTGATCTCGGAATAGCCGTGTGGCCTTACCTTCTTGTCCAGCATCTTCTTCTCCTCCCACCTCTCCTCCTCCAGCTCTTCCTTCTCCTTCTGGACCCGCTCCGTGAACTGTTGGTGCTGCCGCCGACCCAGCACGTACGTCGACAAGCCCAGATTCTCATCTGCATAATTCAAGGAAAGAAATTTTTAAAAACTTTTCTATTATCAAGATCGATATCGAGTTACACAGTCGAGCAAAATCTTAACTTGAGGTCCTTGGGACGTTCGATGATACAAAGTTTAAATACGATACAGAAATTCATACCAATATACTAGTATTCTGGCAAAATGTGAAGCTATTTTGACTTTACATTTGTTCCAATTTTGATATCTTCCTTTGTTACCCACTGGAGAAACTGGGACGATGGCGCCACGTGACAGTGGGGACACCTAGCGATACTTGTAGTATCTGCAGCGTTGGGGCGATTTTTCCTGCAGTAGTATTGTACATCGCTAGGAACGCTTTTGAGTTGCACTGTTGGTGTGCAGCTTCCAAAATTTACCGTAAACAAAACGAACAACTGGTGGGAAAACTAAAGGAATTACACCCACAAAAAAAAACTATTTGTTTTTGCTAGAAGGGGGGGGGCAGAACCGTATTAGAACAGAGAAGTAAATAAAGTCCTCTTGGTAATCCGGATATGATTTTGTTTAGAAAAACTAAAAAAAAAAATCTTCATCTCGAAGTGTACGTGTATTTCCGCAATGATTCAGTCCATTCATCGCTCAAATAATCAATCTGGACATATAGCTACTTTTAGCTTTTGGAGGTTACCCAAAACATAACATACTATAAACAGATACAAACAGAAGGTCTATTTGTAACGATGTGGTAGACAATATGTTATTCTTAGTTAGTCAACATTTTGACATAGTCATGTGGCTCTTCCAGACAATTCCATGATCTTTGATAACCCCATCGTCAAGAATTCAATCCGTGATCACAAGAACCGTTCCTCCCGTGGGCCCTTCTGTGGATTAAGTGATAATCTTGCATAGATTACCACTGTTACTATGTCTGGGGGTGTTGAAAGTCGTGCTGGAAACATTCGTGACGGCCAAATACCCCCATATCCCCGAGAGTGGCCGTGTTGGGCGAGCATTTTGACGTCTACAACCGCATATCTTCAAGTACAACCAGCGTAGAACCGCATATCGAGTATTGGAATTAGTATTAACAATAAGAGGTGAATATTGACCGTCAAAAAGGATACATGTATGTTGACATCTTGTAGTCAGTCAATAATTCAGACGAACCTTCGTTAAATTTAGATCTACGTTCAACTCAATTCCGTAATCCTCGAGCTCGCTTCATTTTCTCACATTTTAGAACGTTAAATTGTGTAAACCTTAGTTGAAGTCGCACATCGTAAAGCATTTCATTCTGTATATATCTTTTCAAGTGAAGGGGTCTGTGCATGTTAACAATATGAAAGGCCAATTGTAGAATTGTAGCTGCATAACAGCAGGTCGACATTGCCATAAGCTTCAGAAGATTTAAACAAACGACTGGAATTCAGATGGTCAATGATGCCTGCGAATATAGAATACTCATAACTGCATACGAAAGGGCAGTACACCAGCAATGTATACATTACATCTAGGGCTACTTCGATACCGCAAAGTATCTCAGATAAGATTGAAATGCACTCGTCTGACGTCAAATACTTAATAAGAAAAACAAGCATACATTCTCAAGAAAATATCTTAAGGCAGAGGAAAATTGAGGAAACATGTCTTACGTTCTGGGAGCTCGAAACTTTTAGCCTGTCGAAGCAGTTGCGACTTGCTCGCCATCTTTTGACTTGTTGTTTTGATCTGCGAGGAGACAACACTGAGGTCTGTCCAAGTCTGGCTGACCGACGATAGCCGGTTCCCACTATCGCCTGCTTACATCTCTTATTCTGGACATGCCCGAGGGACAAGCCAGATGCCACGCGGGTCTGACCGTATAAAGCAGGGGCCGTGATACAGGGACTTCCCGATACTTCCCTTCGAGACGGCTGTATACATATTGTTGATCACGAAATATCGTTAGTCAGGGGTGCCAGAATATACAGTGCAATTTTACGGAATGCAGTGCAATTTTACGGAATACAGTACAATTTTACGGAATACAGTACAATCGTATTAGTATACAGTGAAATTTTACGGAATACAGCGCAATACTACAGAATACACGTACAGCTGCAATTGTATCAGTATATAACGCAATTTTTATTATACTAGTATACAGTACAATTTTAAAACTAAAGGTGCACTGTATACCAATACGATTACACTGTATTCGAATTCCGTAAAATTGCACTGTATACTAATACGATTGCACTGTATTCTTTAACATTGTACTGTATACTAATATGATTGTACTGTATTCCGTAAAATTGCACTGTATACTCTGTTACTAACTGCAAAATACTGAAAATATAATGATAATTCTTCTCTAAACATGTGTATAACTTCAGCCTAAAAACAACAACAACAAGCTTTTAGCTCTTCTATCAGGTCTACTCTGAAAGCTGTTTGTGTGACCTTTCGACATCATATCGCGATCCGGCTGTCCTATGGCACAAATAGTTCACCGTACATTTGCCTGAGGAGGTGATATTTCTAAACCTGTTGTAGGTCAACGACATCAACTAGTATTTTATCTCCAATCAAAGACCATGAAAACAGTTTGTTCCAAGGTCAGAACTGAGGTTGCTTGTTAGCCTCTATCAGGCTTCGGGAGGCGGCTGAAAAGTAGTAGTAGAGATCGGCCAAATAGAGAGATAGCATGCCAGAGAAAAATGCAGGGGAGTTGGTATGCTGGAGAGAACAGTTGCGAAAAACTGTTCTCTCCAGCAGACCAACTCCCTTGGCATGCTATCTCTCTCTTTGGCCGATTTCTACTCTTCCAGCCGCCTCCCGAAGCCTGGTAGAGACTAGTTGCTTGTGCCAGCTGGAGCATATATCTTAACCCTACCTAGACCCGGGGGGGGGGGGCTAAAAGTGCCCGCGGCAACTTTGATGTCACCTAGCGTCTGAACGACTAGCCGTAGAACGGCCAAACTTCGTGACTTTTCCTAGAATATTGTTGGCAACAATTCTCTATCATTGGAATAAGATAATAATTTTTTGTGTTGCCATGGCAACGGGTTTCTGACAGGCATTTTTTGCTAAATTTAGTACTTTTTGTTTCAACAATAGAATTTTATGGGTTTTATGTCAAGTTACTCATGGTTTCTAATATTAATAACATCCCATATAATTTTATGTAAATTTTATCATTAAATATGCATAATTTATGCTAATTTGATGACGTCATTGGCCAAAATCCAAGATGGCGGACCATATCATAAGAACAGGTATATACAGGTTATTTTCATTAAAATTTCATCAATACTTCCATTTCTTTTTCCAAAAAAGGTTTAAATGAAGGTCTTTAGTATGTTTACGATGTATTTTAGGCTTTATCATGAAAAAAAATATTTTTGAAAATTCAAGATTGATGATCCAAGATGGCGGATATCTTAAATATGCATGACGTCATTTTATGACGTCACCGGTGTTGCTTTGGGCAACATAAGACTTAGTACACCATAATATTCTGTCATAAACACTTTTGGTACAGTTATGTTGAATACCATTTAGTTTTCAGGGAAAAACCTATTTAGACGGTTTTGGCCAATAAAATCACATTAATGACGTCATAATGACGTCATATTACATCATAACGACATAAAAATTGTAGATATGATAAATTTTCACTAGTACACTATTCTCTGAAAATTTGGTGGTCATACGGCATACCGTTCGCGAGTTCTTAGGGGGGGTACAAAGACCCCCCCCCCCCCGGTCCCCCCATGTCAAAAAAAGCCCGGTCTAGGTAGGGTTAAGAATTTGAAAAGGTCACTTGAAGATGCCCAAAGCGACTTTGGAGCAGTAAAACTGCTTGTTCGATGGTGGCTCTGATATGAGTTTGATGTAACTTGTTTGCGTCGTCATGTTGTGTATTGATCTATTTCTGTTTTGATTTTGAAAAAAAAAACGCAAATTTTATTTATTTCAGCTTTATTACACATAGACAAAAAAACAAAAACTTCGTTTTTTTTGCTCCCTGATTAAAAGAATATAAAATGACTGAATGGACATAACAAGAAATAATAATCAAAACCAACATTATGATAATAATAATAATAATTGTAACAAAACTGCTAATAACAATAATGATTATAAAAGAAATTAACAATGGACAACAAATAGAAGACATAGTGAGAAAATAATAAATTATTGCTAATGATATTGTATTTGAATATAGAATTGATCGGAATGCTTTTTAGTCGGATGTTTTGTTCTTAACACTGAGTTGATCTCATAAACAACTGTGGCTAAATCAAACGTTAGTCGTTACAAATTTTCCTTCCAATATCTGCTTCAAGATGACGTCCGCTTGCATGTACATGTATACCAGATGACATCGCGTGCAACACTTTATTCCACGAGAGACCAATTACGTGTGAGATGCAGTCACTTTGATACCTACAAAACAGAGCTATGTGTGTTATGTTAACGTTTTAAGGCCATATTTTGTCATTTCAGGAACTGTCTATGGAGTGAGGGAACCGTAATTTTACAATTAATCTCTGCAACTAATATTAGCATTCAATTATTCTACAATATAGATGACGCATGTATGTTTAATTGTAGGCCGTGTAATTACCAATAACGGTTTGGGGGAGTGCCTGGACCATGTTGCGACCATGATATTGAATTAGACCCTTGAAAACAAATTTAGCCCTGAGTGAGAAAATATGGATCTAAAATTTTTAGGGAAAACTGTAAAACTGACGTGTTTTTATGCGTTTTTATCAGGCTTTCTTTTATGTAGTGTCATGCCCAGCCCACTGGCCAACGGGGTAAATGCTTGGCAAATGGATACTGCCTGACCAATTTGATATTGTCTTAATTGTCACTGCCACCAAAAGATCTGCTTGGAGATTAATAAAACTAGAAAAATACGATTAGTGGTCAGGAGAAGTCTCGATGGACTGGGTTTGTTACGAAAGAACTAGTTTGTTGTCGGTTACCGAACGATATGAGGCATCTTAAATTGTTTGCCGCTGGCTTTGAATTTCATGGTCATAGATATTGGGATGGTGTCAGAGAGGTAACGTTACGTTGGTCATGTTTAGGAGCGGCTCCTAGCGGGGTTTAAATGTAGCACAACTCCAACCTCTCCAACTCCAACTCCAACTCCAAGCCTATATTTACAAATGTATGTTCACCTTCCCAGAAGGAAAACATATTGTTTTTATGTTAACCGAAGGATATCATATGTTTTGCTCTGTTTGCTCTTTTTCTCTAAAACAATATAGTCAATGACCTGAACAAGAAGTCTGTCACCATGGTAACTAGCGTTGTGTTACATCATTTTGCAATTTTATAGTAGGGAGGATTTAGACTCCTGTCACCATATATGTGAATGCGTTTGAATAAGAATCAACAGAGCAGACCATATTCGAAGGTAAACATTATGCATCTTTTTGCTTTGCAAGTGACTGAGAGACCAGAGGGGAAAGCAGGTTTATAAGCACAACCTGATTTCCCCTCTGGTCTCTCAGTCACTGACGAAAGCTAGACGACTGACGAGATCAAGGACGGATTATACAGAAGTATTATGTATCATGTCCTTGATGAGATGCACCCTTGAAAAACCTGTTTTCCCACTGGGTTCGAATTCTGACCTCTGTGCTCAAGACTCACGGTAACCCTCAAAGGCCTCTGCCTGTGTAACACTGTACACATGATCTTCGCGAGGAAAGGGTACTTTAAAAATGTAAAATATGTGAAGCCCTAGTCCTTGACTACCTGCCATTCTTTACCATTATGCTAAATATTACAAAGTTGCCTCCTAAATTACAGGTTTCAAGTTTCGCGCCACAGTCTGTCCATAAACGCCACGCCCACAAGTGCACATGCGCGCTCATTTTGACACAAATTTGCGGGATCGGTGTAGCACGCAGATACATGAAAACCGCTCGGTGACTTCCCTGTTCTCCCTCCGCCGAATATCGTCGACATGCCGGCCTATAACCTCCTCCTGGACTTCCACGTCCCTCCGACGATCCTAGAAACGTCAGGTAAGGCCTGCTCTCGCTGGTGTTTTGTGACGATCTCGCCCGGCGCGAATCTAAATGTAGCCCGCTTGTTTTGGAAACAGATCTGACCCTCCCTGGTGTGCTGTCTGTATGCGGGGTTTCCCCAGTAGGTATTTGTTTATCCACAGTCCGCCTATCTATTATTTACGTTTTGTTCCGTCACGGATCTCCCACCACTATGTATATAAAGCAGAGGTCTAGACAGAATGAAAATTCTGTATTGTATGTACCGTACCGGTAATATTATGTCGCAGGTACGACTATCTGTTACACCCTATAGTCACAGACAGATATGTATTGATCATTTCACCGTAATATTTTGCAATTCCATATTTCAAATATCTAAAGCATGCTATTCCTCCATTTTACGCCTAGAAAGAAAATTTACGATTTGGATATAGATCGTTCAATTTCATTTTCGTTGATTTGCGTAAAAAAATGTATTTGGGCTAGATGTTTTGTTTTCGGCTATATTAAATTGCCCAGCGAATACCTGAGTACCGATATAATGACAAAATTTTCAGATACGGTTACGAGCCCATCAATTAAAAAAAAAATGAAATTAGTAGTTATTTTCAGGAAATGGAATATTTTCCAGTGTTTTTCTTTTATTGTGGACCAATTATCCTAATGTGATATATGGGTGTTGACCTGACTAGACAATGAATTAGTGCTGTTGTTGTAGAGAGGGTGGTGCTGTGACAATACTACATTTTTTGCACTAAAATATGTATGTAAATGATAGTAAATGCATAAAACAGTTAGTCAGTGGTTTGATTTCTTAATGGTGTTGATGGCTAATTTGGTGTATGTACAAGCTTAAAAAACAACACATTTGGTTCACAAAAGCTCCCCTATTCTTTTACAAGGTCAAGGGTTTCCATAACATAATTTGCTACACTACAGGGCTCGAAATCCCTTTTCTGCATACGTTGAAAATTACCTGCACCAGATAAATTTTACCTGCACCACTCAGAATTTAGGCAGCATGGATCATACTAAAAACTGTTCTGAAACCATTGCCATTGTTTCTTTTAAAAGGTGATAACAGTATAGCAAATAAAAATCAATGTGCACCTACATTTATAAACCCAGTACATCAGTCAGCATAGGTTTAGGTGCCTGGTATACATCAGAAATGCCTAGTAGTACACAGCTCAATTTTTATATCTTCACTAACGTATATACTATTATACAGGTGGTATTCCAAGCCCTAATGGTCAATGTTAATGCTGCATTTATTTATTTATTTATGAATTTTTAGGACCCCTTTATCTTATAATGCCTGATTTTCAAGGCATTTCCCTTGAAAAATCAACAAACATAATTGAAAAAAATTTTTCTTTTTCTAGATTAGTCCATCATTGTTTCACAGTTGTTTAAATTAAGTTAGTCAGTCACATGCAATTTATCTATTGTACAGTTGTCTACTTCAAACTTGTTTTGTAATTTGTATAAGAAAGGACGGATTATTAATCATGTCAACACCCAAATAGTCTACCTGCACAGTGTCATCGTCGACTATTGTATGTCTGACTCAACATAATTATTCCTTAAGGCAGACCTATTATTCCATAGTATGATTAACAACTGAAAGTTTATTGCAAATACATGCCCGAGGGCTAATTGCAGTTACAAACAACATAAGAAAGAAAATACAGTGGTATGTGAGACTATATCTACGTCTAGCATTATACTATATTCTACAACATGCATGGTACTAGATTAACATACCAAACATAACGGTAAGTTCTGTGTTATTGGGTAAAATTTTTGTCTGTCTGTTATGAGAGCAAATTCCCTGCAAATGATGAATTGCTAGATACTTACCCACTCATTTTTGTTATCTCCAGAGAGATTTTTATTTCACTTCATTTCAAATCTTCATTTTATTTATCATTTCAATTTTGAAAAAAAATTCTGTTATTATATTTTACTGGAATATTGGGTAAAAAAAACCTCACCGTTGTCAAAATGGCAGAATAGAGGTTTTTATCAAACCCCATACACAGCCCTATGGCCCTGAAATATAAATAGTATTGCTAGATATATCTGTCCTGTATGTGTGGCATTTGGTTTAATATAATACTCTGTGCCATATTGTAACTCTTATGGAGGGTTTATTTACTCTGATCATAAATCATGATGCAGATTAAGATCATATTTTACAGTTATGAATAATTCTTTTATGGCTTACATACTAGTATGCACATGTTATCAGCTTAGTCCTTGACCTTATGCCATACATGTTTACTTTAAGCATGATTCAAGTGTCGAGCTGATAAAAACTCATGAACAGCATAATGTGTGCATTGTAAATGGAGGTTCAAGAGGTCTATAAGGCCTAGGCCACACCAATTTAATATCTTGGTTAACGGATTTTTCTAGAAAAATAATGGGGCGGGCGGGCGAAAAAAAAATAAAAATAAAAACAGGCCTAGGCATCCCATTATGACCCAAAATGGTACGATAGGAGCCATAAAGTCAACACACCAGGCTGGTTCAAAATTTAAACAATGAATTTTGAACTTTTAATGATACCATTGCATTGAAAGATAGAATAACTGTAACAACTAGGATGAAAAGGACTGTTTTCCACTGTTCAGGGCAAAATATGAGCATTTTGCAGTTGATTCTGAATTTTTATTTTTATTTGCAAATCAGCAAAAAAATGAAGCGGCGAATCCGTTAACCAAGAAATTAAATTGGTGTGGCCCTAGTGAGATATTTTAATTCATTGTTAGGCCACACCAAATTAATTTGTTGGTTCTCGGATTTTTTTGGAAAAAATATGAAGCGACGCGGCGCAAAAAACAAACAAAAAACAGACCTAGGCATCCTATGATAGCCCCAAATGCTATGATCATAGAAGCCACAATGTCAGCATAACAGGCTGGTTTGTAGTGCAAATAATGAGTTTCAAACTTTTAATCAAACCACTGCATTGATAGATTGAAAAATTGTAACAACTCTGAACAGAAGGGACTTTCTTCAACTGTTCGGGCCAAAATATGAGCATTTTGGAGTCAATTGGAGGCTTAATTTTTTTTTTTTTTGCAAATCAGAAAAAAATGAAGAGGCGAATCCGAGAACCAACAAATTAAATTGGTGTGGCCTAAATGTTGGATGATCTTTTGAGTTTGTGTATTGATCTTAGCAAATTGTTTGTTTACATGACAGAGAATGGTAAAGTAACGTCCAACCAGGAGATGCATAACGTGGTGAGGTCCCTGGGACTACAGGGGCCGACGTCTGCCGTCACCTTCCAAGACGGGGGGACGCTGGCCGTGTTTCACAACGAAGACGGCAGGTGAGAAACCTAATATCATCATGACCACTTGAAAACACTTCTTGAAAATAAAGGAGATATGTGTTGTACGTCAATGTTAGTTGAAATAATTATATTGAATAGAAGGCTTTTTGTTCTGTGTCACCTGCATTAAAAACTACTTTTTTTTTAAATTTTTTTTGCGGCCAGTCCAATATGCCCAATAGGGGTACATCTGAAATATTACATTGACCACAAAAACAGCTACGGTAAAAATAAAAATATATGCATCATCACGGGCATGACTGCAGACGATTTTTAAAATTGCATGCCGATTAAACAAAGGGGACTGTGTGTTTTAGCCGCGAACACGAAAACCGTTTGACCACAATACTCCTGCAGGAGGTATATACATGACATGTACCTCCTTCACGGAGTAAAAAGTCTGAGAGTAGGTTTCATTGTGTTTGGGGGGTGTATTACGAACATCAAAGGCTGAATTAGATTTATAGTTTTATATGTTTATATTTCATGCTTGAACAATGGGGAAGAATTATTGCATATTATAAAGCTGTAGCAAATTCTTTCTGACACAATTCTACATGTACTCAAGTTACATAGTAACTGTTCATTGGTTTCTTAAGTGTTATCACATGTGTATCACAATGTCCCTCCATCTGTCTTGTACCAAATTAAGATTTGTTGGTTCTCAGATTAAAAAAAAAAGATATGAAGTGACAGGACAAAAAAAAACAAACAAACAAACAAACAAACTAGAAACAAATTTAAACAGGCTTAGGCATCCTACATGATGCCACTCTGTACAATATATGTACTAGGTGAAAGCCATTTTTTTGTACCAGCCAAGGATATGATTTCTAATTCGAACAATGAATTCTTAAAATCACTGCATACTAGAAATTTACTGTTACAACTATAGTTAGGAAGACAAAAAATTTCTTAAACTGTTGGGGCAATTTGAGCATTTTGGAGTCGATTGAAAACCTTTTTTTTTTTCGAATCGGAAAAAAGAAAGCAGGTGAATCTGAGAACCAATTCATTTAATTGGTATGGCCATCCATCCATCTTTGTTTTGTTGATAATTTTCCCCAGCCATGCAACACTGAGAGTGTATCCACAAGGACTGGTGACACTAGATCTTCAGCAGTGGGTAGAGGAAGGGGGAGAGCCCAAGATCACAGGAGAAGTAAGTTTTAACACCTTAAAAAGAGACCAAATGAATCTTAATATTATAAATCACTGTCACAGTACTGTGATAAATGTGAAATATAACTCTTTGTATTCAATTTGATAATAACACAGTGACTGTAAATTTTAAGCAATCAGCAATTAAATTGAATGTTGCAATTTCAGTAGAAAGACACAAGATAAAGGATCAGAAAAAGTTCTAATGAACAGATTAGTTCAGTCATAATTATATAATTATTATATGATAAGCCTATTGCCAAAATGCTCATAATTTAATTTTGGCCCCAACAGTTGAAAAAAAAATGGATTCCTTGTTTTCTGAGTTTTTCCATCTATCAATGCAGTGGTTTGATAAAAATTGTTCAAATTCAGTTTTTATTATTATTATAATTATATTAAAGCGAGCCTGTTTATTTTATATTCATTTTGAATTCATGGCTTCTCCATAGCATTTGGGGATATCATATATTAGTTTTTTCACCCTCTCTTTTAATTTTTTTCCTGATATGCAACAAATCAGTAGGAGTGGCCTTGATTAAGTTCTTGAAAATGAAATTTCCCATTTTTTCCCTCCAGGTTTTGAGTGATGTGGAGCAGAAGTTCAAACGAGTCTTGTCCTCCAAGAAGTCCAAAAGGCTGGTGGAGTTTCTCTTTGGTGTGAGACCGGCGACAGTTCCTTCTCTCTCCATGTTTGGTTGTCTAGCAACCGCAGCGTTGTCATAGCAACTGAACAGTGGTGTCCTGTCTGCCAATTGTCTATAGCCTGGTGATGTTCAGGACTGTTCCATTTTGAAAATTTCGGGAGAGTTGGGGTATATTTTTCCAAAAATTTTTTCAAATTATTTTTCTTTTTATTTATATATTTAGTATTAAAATGCAGTGCCAGTAACCAGATTAAATTGGAAGTTGATTAAAGGGATTAATAAGTAAGATAGAAAATATTATGTAATTTGCTGTAAAAATTGTTTTGTTGTCACCTCCCCAAATTATAGTAATAATGGAACTGTCCTGTCGGCGTACAATTTATAGTGAAACTGATGACTTCCTCAGAGGACTAGTGCTGGTTGTAATGTAGCACTTTAGAGATGTGTATGGCAATGATTAAATTATGCCAAACTCCTCATATTGAATTGATTTGCATGGTGCAAATTTCAGTTTTATGTGACATGTTTTTGTGCATGTAAAACATATAAATTATGACAATACTGGAAATCATTTTTTTGCAGTACTTTAATTTATTATTACCGCAAACAAATAAATCGCCAACTTTCTTTCTTCTGTGCCTGCCACCACCGCGAACATATAGTTCAGCAAATACGTCTATTTTTCTCAGACTGCGAAATTTTGCTACCACCAAGGACATTATAATGTCCTTGCTACCACGGAATGTTAAGTGATTTTCAGTACCAGCTACTGTATAATTCCCATCTTGGCCTGTGACCAGCCTTTTTTTTTAATGTTTACCAAAGGAAAACATATTGTTTTTGCTCTGTTTCTTTTCCGTTCCAAACACTGACCTGTTCAATGACCTGAACCAGACCGTCTGTCACCATGGTGACTGGTGTTGTGTTACATCATGTTGCAATTTTATAGTAGGAGGGATTTAGACTCCTATCACCATATAATTATGTGAATGTGTTTGAGTAAGAATTAACAGAGCAGACCATATGCGAAGGTAAACACAATGCATTTGCTTTGCAAATGTTACCTTTTTAGTAAAAAACTATTGTTTCTTTTCAGACTTCCGTTCATTAAGCGTGGGCTGCGGCTGGATCCGTACATTACCACCACCAGTGAACACATCGTAGAGTACGACTTTGACCGCGTAGTTTACGAGGAAAACTCACCGTACCAGAATATCAAAATCCTCCACTCACCACAATATGGCAATCTGCTGCTACTGGATGATGACCAGAGTAAGGATATTTTTATATCGTTACAAATATTTATTAATTGACTGCATGAATGAATAAATAAATGAATGGAATGATGGATAAATGTCATTGAATGAATGAATAAATGATGCGTCCAATGGTTTGATCAATGATTGAATGAATGAATGGCTTGAAGGATGTGAATGGCTTGAAGGATGAATGAATGGCTTGAAGGATGAATGAATGAATGAATAAATTGAATGGTTTTATGGATGAATGAGTGAATGAATGAATGAATGAATGAATGAATGAATGAATGAATGAATGAATGAATGAATGAATGAATGAATGAATGACGTATGCTTTAATTGCCGAGTCTGTGGGGGTTTTAAGATTCCCTTTGGAGATATTAATGATATAATTATTGTAACACAAATAATATAATATATAGTATATATGTTACAGAAAAATGAGAAAATTCGAAGTTCAGAAATGACATACCAGTATTCACCCATATCCTAAAACAATTAGCATCAGATTCTGTATTTTAAACTTGTTGTCTTTGCTTCTAACAACAGATCTGGCTGAGAGCGACGTTGCGTACACGTACGCCATGACGGGAAACGGTCGCGAAGACTTCACCAACAAGGATGTCCTTATTCTGGGGGGCGGTGACGGCGGGATCCTGTACCACCTCCTCCAACAGAACCCCAAGTTTGTCACCATGCTGGAGATATCCTTTTATAATATGTGTGGAACAACTTGAATGTGTACTGAGTTTCAAATGAAAGCTCATTTGTGTATCAATAGTTCCAAAGTAGCTTAGTTCCAACACAAAAGGGAACTCACCATAAATTTTTGGTTGAGCTCATCAACCTTCATCAGACATATGATGCAATCTCTGACTTTCTGGAAGCTGGGAAGACGGAATCTACCACTGTCACAGTTCAGAGTCAGTTGAGTACAGTTTGTTTAGGATCTCTGTTATAATTGTAAGTTTCACAATATTCTTCCTGGAGTCCATAGTGAATCATCCGTACTAGTATTTCAACCATCGCACACCGGGGCATGCCCCTACTCTTTTTTGAAAGGCGTGGTGGGTGTGGACCTCCATTTAACGTCCTATCCGAGGGACGTCCCTAACTAAAGCTCAAAGGTACTCATTTACACCTGTCAGTGAGTGAGGTGAGGAAAGTCGTGTAAGGTGTCTTTCCAAAGGGCACAAGATTAGTGACAAGGTAGGATTCGAACCTGGGAACTCTTGGTCCTGAGCTGAACACGCTACCGCTTCTGCACACGACCCCACAGTCAAACTTGTGACGACCAGTGGACCAAGGAAAAGTGGTCTTCATAGACAAATGGTCTTCTTATACAAAAAGCATGGCCCTTCTTTGCCTCATGTTTCTATTTATGCAAAGATATTGCTGCTAGCATTTATTTTTACTTGTCGAGTTGATTCAACTACTCATCTTAGTTGATTCAACTACTCATCTGATGGCAACACTGCTTTCAGCACAAAGGACAGCAACAATATCCATTTATGGCTTGTTCCAAAATCCCGTTTTTCAGGAGACTGCCCTATTGATCCAAAGTGATTTCACTGCCAATGCCATTTTACATAGCACAAAGATATTTATGCTGTTAAAATCAATAGCAAACTAGCCAGTCAAAATTCTAATGCAACATTGACCAAACATCCAATGAAAACCGTGAAAAATCCGGATATCGCTCAGGCACAGTATGTTCTGCCGATGTGCTGCCGATTTACATGCAGGAAAAATTCTAGAAAGTTTTCCTACACTCGCGTGCATAGGCAGTTTTCATACTGTCAGGTTTTTGTCCGCGTGTAAATCTTACTTGGATGAGCAACAGATTATACTATTCGTGGGAAAAGGTTAAAAGAAATCCCCAAAGTGGTGCAGGCATGTTATTGATGGCACACTGTGCCTGGAATTTCAAAATGCTCCTTGGGTTCCTCAGGGGTATTTTAACACCATCACACAAGACATCCATTGCAGTCATGGTTTGCAGTTCAAACCCCATTGTGTGCCCTTAAACAGTCAGTTTTTCATGCAGTGGTACACCATGTACAATCTGGCCTTTCATATATTTTCATTGTGACGTTTTCAGTGGGGAACCAGTAATCAATAGTGGTTCATATCATTCTGTTCTACATTTAACATCTGTTTTAGACACCTATAGCATCTGCAGATTATAAAATAGTCAAACTAAACACACCAGCTTTGCAGGCACATGGCTACATTACACCGAACGACTTGTTACACCTAAATCTCAAACATCTAACCATGGATTGTTTAAATGATAATGCCCCTACTGTACTTGGTGAAATCAAGTTACACTCTGCAATTATTAGGAAAGAATGAGTTTTTGAACACCTATTTGAAGATAAGTCCATCCATCCATTCATCCGTCAGTTCATTGATGCAGTCCATCTTTACCTGACAGACAGCATCAGTTGTTGGCAGTTCCAATTGTCTGACTCAACACTGATGGGTAAAGGATGAGGCTGCATACTAAGTGGTCTAACTAGCATCCATCTTTCTGCTATTTGACAGAATTTTGCCTCTCATGAAAGGCAAAAATTTTGCCCAATTCATCATCTTTGACAGACAAAAATTGGTGTGTAAATTTATGGAAAGAGATGTTATCAAACTTAGCTTTGTTGACAAAATTTGGCTCTCAAAATGCAGGAAAAATTGTTTCAAAGGGTCAACATTTCAAAATTTTGTCCCTGGACACCTGAGGACACAGTGTAACGTCAAATAAAATTGAGATGATGGAAAAGAATTTCAGGCTCTATAGCTAGCTGTTGAGGTGAAGCAATTTTATATCATAGAACTACGATCAGTATGTTGATCATACTATAGAATTACTAAGGTTTGCCTTAGGGGATATACATCAGATTCTACTGAGTCAGACATAATTGACTCTACCTGGGCAGGTAAACTATTTGGGCATTACACTGTCAGTGAGCCCATCCTATCTTACACAAAGCAGATATTAGCCAGTGACCTGTACAGAACAGGTTCTACAAGTTTTAAGTCAACCGTGAAAATTAACAGTATTGTGTTGCAATGTCACTGACTCAAAGTCCTAATAGTATGAAACAACAGACAGTGGTAATCTCTCAAGTAATATATTTTTTCATAGTTTGTTGATTTGTCAAATTATAGAGCTGGGAGTACCCTATGAAAATTATTTTAAAAAATGCAGCATTTACATCAACTGACAAGGCTCAAAATACCACCTGCATGATTGTACAGGTACACAGGTTAGTGCACTAAAAATTGGAGCTGTGTGCACTGAGGTTCAAGTTTTAAAAATCTTTTCAGGGGAGCTTGCTGCTGCAAAATTGAGATGACGGAAAAAAATCAGGCTACTAGATATTTTCATTCAGCATCATTTTCATACATGGCAGATAGCATGAGTTCCTATTGGCTGAATCAGCAGATGGGGAAATGATGAAGCACCATCTGCATCATCTGCCCATCAATCATCCTCCAGGGATGTGTTGGACCATATCTTCATTGGGAAAATTGATGGGGACAGCATTTTTATCGGCTTTGCCAATTTCTCTGGCATCTATTGAATATGATGGTCAAAATCTTGTATGGCTTTGATATGTGTCATAATAATGATCCTTTTATTGATTTATTGTACAAAAATAAAGATGTAGATCTCTTTTATACCATATCTTAAGTGGGCAAGAAAATTGTTATTTTGTCATAATGCTCTTATTACCTCTGGTAGGCTTGAGCAATCCTTCACATATTCGCAATTGAGCTACTTAGTTTAAATTAAAAAGTACATCATAATTCAATGATTATTCATACCCTAAACAGGCATTATGCAACATTTTTGCACCAAAAATAATTAATTGAAATATTCTCATTGACAAAATAAGCTTCCTGTGATTGTATATTATTTCCACTTGTCAAAACATATTTGTGCAATTATCACAATTTTCTAATACCTATCACTGGCAAGCAATCAAACAGTTTTGCATTAGGAACAGCTGTACATTCTGCTGACGTGCTATACAAATGTATCAATAGCAGACGACAAGAGCTGAAAATGGCCTGCCATGGCTTTTGATGTTTGATCTCATTCTTCTTTTCCGAGTCTTTCCAAATTGCTTCTCACGTGAGGTAATGCCTAATGGCCTTTTGAGTCACGTGTGCAATTATATCTATAACATGTTTGGAAGGCTAAATAAGGCCATTCTTTATTACCATAAATGATGAACTGCCAATTTGTGTTACAGTTTACACCAAGATGAGCAAGACCGATGTGGAACGATGAAAATACATCAGGGTTCACAATCCTTTTTTTTTTCTTTCTGCATATCTGTACTGGTGCAGGTTACACACTGAAAAATACCTGCACCAGACAAGTTTTGTATGAATCATTCATATTATTACTAAAACTGTTCAGAAACTACTCAGTCTGCCATTATTTCTATTCAATATTTAATACATTGCAAACAATGTTTTAATCATTAGATGGTAACAGTCAATTTGATATTATAGCAAATATGATATAATCATTATTATAATTATGATAATGATTATAATCATTATAATCATTAGATGGTAACAGTCAATTTATTATTATAACAAATATGATATAATCATTATTAATATAATAATCATAATGGTTATAATCATTAGATGGTAACAGTCAATTTATTATTATAGCAAATATGATATAATCATTATAATCATTAGATGGTAACAGTCAATTTATTATATATGATAGCAAATATGATAAACGTTACATCATAATCCACATTGCAAATAACCTCCCAATGGTTCAAAGTTCGATACACTACTATTATGTCTATTATTTTGACTACAAAACACATTCACATTCAAAAATACATGTTAGACCCACACAGTGTTAACAGTGACACTATTCCTCTGCATACTGTAATGTCAATAAGATGCCAGACTTTATTGCTGATACAATGTAGTAGATATCACAGTGCCCAAGGGACATCAGATATAGATTATTAGTCCACAAAGAACACCATGCATATACATGTATGTGCATTGTAAAATTTTTAAGATGATAATTTAACATTCTATATACTATGTATAGTTAATTTTGCTTCTCCAGTGACTTTAAAATTCTTACAAGAGCCATCATACATGACTTGTATTATATTATATTGCCTCCGGTCAAAATATAATATATCTTGTAGTTATATTAAGGATAATTTGATCACAGACAGCATATCCAAGAATTTTTAACTCTTAATATTATTAAATAAATGTCTGAATATGAAAAGATGTACTTATGCAGTAATTATGAATTTCTATAGAAATTACTGCTGCAGCAGTGCCAGTATCTTAAAAGTTATTAGATTGTACAGTGTCACACAAAGAGGGGCTTTACAATAATTTACAATTAGGGTCATTAACCATATTTCCATTCATAATGAGTGGGGAACATATCAGAACTATTTAACAATTAGTGAATTTTACCTAAAATGTTCCTTGCTACAAGACTTCCTAGCTACTAGATTTAAAAAAAAAACCCTGCATGTCATATACATTGTATTATTGACATTTAGGGGTAATGTTTTCATCAAGTTTGATGAATTGTGATGTCTGACAAAATATATTTTGTGTATCTCCAAGTTGTATCTAGTTCATCAGGCTGGAAGGTAGTTTAAGTGTCCTTTCCACCTGACTTGTTCCCGGGGCATGTTCCACCTGACTTGTTCCCAGGCATGTAATGAAATAATCCTGATTCCCGAGAGCAGCCAGGATGATAGAGTGTCCATGCCGCTGGCCTGTGCAGTTGACGGTATTTCCTCATTACTCAGGAAATTGCCTATCGATCCACAGTCCTGCTTTTTTGTAGCAGCTCCCATCCAGAAATACGATTCTCTAATCCTGAAGTGATATACAGATCGAGCCTGATTCAGTAAATTCCTCTTAGTTCAAAAGGCGAGATGTTATATCTTTAGGCCACACCAATTTAATTTGTTGGTTCTCAGATTTTTCCAGAAAAAAATATGAAGCAACAGGGCAAAATAAAATAATAAAAACAGGTCAATGACCTGAACCAGATGTCTGTCACCATGGTAACTATTGTTGGGTTACGTCATATTGCAATTTTATAGCAGGAGGGATTTAGACTCCTGTCTGAGTACAGTTGTATATAATTATGTATGATGAATGTGTTTGAGTATTTATTAACAGATCAGACCGTATGCGAAGGTAAACATTATGAATTTGCTTTGCAAATGTTTAACCTTAAGTTTCTAGTTGCGAGGAATTTTCCTTGACTGTACCTCACATAGACCAAATGGTAATAGATGCAGCGACGAAATACCTGCGGGGAATCTGCCACGACTGTTTCGACTCCCTCAGCGGAGACAACTACTTGGTAATCCACAGTCATCCTGTGTCGTTGGATCACACCAAACTGTCGTCGTTTTTACTTATGATGACATAGATCGTTGTTTTTGCTCAGTTTCTTCTTCTCCAAACAAGTAAGGTCAATGACCTGAACCAGACGTCTGTCAACATGATGGTAACTGGTGTTGGGTTACATCATTAATAATCATATATTATTAATTTCCCTATAGGTACGTGTAGAAGACTGTGTACCAGTGCTGGAACAGTACGCACGAGACGGCAAAACATTTGACTATGTCATCAACGATCTCACAGACATTCCTATAGCTCAAGAACCTACAGGTATGGAAAAAACTCCTTGGGCCTAGGAAAAAAACCTTGTGTTTCCTGGTTCAGCCCTGAAAAAATTAGAGTCGGTAGTTTAGGGATTACCTTTTTTTTCATTGATATCTAGTATATAGGGGTCCAACTCATACAAATTGAATACAGTTAAATAAAGTAAAACTTGCATGAGGACAGTTTTATTTTCAATGTCATATGTTAGAAAACCAATTGTGCAACGTTGTATCACTCAGGTGTCAGATCATAGAGCTACATGTAGAAAAGGTTGATCAGATCAAAAAATCATGTCCCTTGCAGGGGTCCAGGGGTCAGCAGGTTTTTTTAGGGTCGGTCGAGAAACAGGAAACAAAGTTTTTTTCCCTAGGCCTTGTCCGTAGTGGGTTGCCGGCTTCTGACTTAAAACACCTGTAACACAGCATTGGCATCCATCCCAGACTTTTCTAACTCCATTTTCAAAAGCCGTCTACCATAGAACCGATCCAATGTAAGGGCGCCCACGTACATCAAAGCACGTTTCAGATCAGTTCACCTGATCTTTGTTAAGTCGAGGAGACATCCAGTCCCGCCGTGGCCATATTAAGTACTTTTTGTAGATAACAGCATGAGGAAGAACCCCTATCTGTACCTCCGCTAAGACTGATAGAGCTACGGTGTATAATCCTTTAAGTTGGCGTGACTGAGTGAACAACGTGACCCTAGGCAAACCAATTTAATTTGTTGGTTCTTGGATATTTCATGAAAAATACAAAGCAACAGGGCAAAAAAAAAAAAAAAACAGGTCTAGGCATCCTATTATAGCCCCAGATGCTACTGTTATGATAGGAGCCATGAAGTCAACACAAAAGGCTGGGTTAATATTTAAACAATGAGTTTTGAACTTTTAATCAAACCACTGCATTGATAGATGGAAAAACTGCAACAAGTAGGAAGAAAAAGACTTTCCTCAACTGTTGGGGGCAAAACATGAGCATATTTCAGTTGATTCAGAACCAGTATCTTGAAATGAAAAAAAAAAAATGAACTGGCAAATCCGAGAACCAACAAATTAAATTGGTGTGGCCCTACCATTTATCACTCCTCTTCTCGTGGTACTGAACAGTAAACCCATGAGAGATGACCCCTACATGCAGTAGTCGCACTGTCTCTGCTGTGAGTATGGATAAAAGGTATCTAATGCCATTAACGTGAAAAGCAGCATCCAAAAGGGCAGTGGGAATTGTGCAGGGTCATTTCTTATGGGGCTGTAGCTGCTCAGCAAAATCGTCCTAAGGCCACACCAATCTATTTTCTTGGTTAACGGGTTTTTCTAGAAGAATAATTGAGCGGGCGGGTGAAAGAAAATAAAAATAAAAACAGGTCTAGGCATCCTATTATGACCCAAAATGGTACGATAGGAGCCATGAAGTCAACACACCAGGCTGGTTCAAAATTTAAACAATGAATTTTGAACTTTTGATGATACCACTGCATTGAAAGATGGAATTACTGTAACGACTAGGATGAAAAGGACTGTTTTCAACTGTTCAGGGCAAAATATGAGCATTTTACAGTTGATTCTGAATTTTTTTTTTTTGCAAGTCCGAAAAAAAATGAAGCGGGCAAATCCATTAACCAAGAAATTAAATTGGTGTGGCCTAACTGCTTCATCTGAGTTTAAATTGAAAGTCTTTACTTACGTATTCTCAGAATAGTTCCAATCTACATGTAAATTATGACCTACATAACAGGTAATTCCTTTGCCTGCACTTCGTGCTTGAAGAATGTAGCACTTAGTGGAATGAAGCTTCTAGATTTTTTTACTACCTATAGAGCAGTATTCTTTGACAAATTGTAATAGAAAATCCTGGTCATTACCATTCAATACAATACAGGGAAAAGATGCAGCAAATATGCTAGTATGCTGACAGAGAAATGAACCTACGGCCACACCAATTAAATTTGTTGGTTCTCGGATATTTGCCTCTTCATTTTTTTTCTGATTTGCAAAAAAAAAAAAGATTCTGGTTCTGAATCAACTAAAAAAATGCTCATATTTTGCCCCCAAAAGTTGAGGGAAGTTGTTTTCTTCCCACTTGTTACAGTTATTTAACTTTCTGCTTGTTACACAATTATTTAACGTAAAAGAGCAACACTTCATAGTAGCGGGTACCTGTACCTGTGTTAATAAAGAAGTGTAGCCTATTTTTTCTAGCACTGGAAAAAAACATTATTCCCAAATCAAAGAAGTGTAGCCTATTTTTCCTAGCACTGAAAAAAAACATGATTCCCAAATCATTCCAATTTTCACACTTTCTAGTGGGCAAGTGTTTGTGGATTCTTAGTTTTTGAGCTAAATCTGAGTCAATTTTGTCCAAACCTACATGTAAGTGGATTACTTGTCATCTAATAATGGCCAGCCAGACATCACATGAACAACTCAATATAGATGTAAAAGATACTGATGTCACAGGATGTCAGTTCTTTATCAGGTTATCTTCAGCTTGTGTAATCCTTGTGGCCGTTGAATGGTTTTCGTTAGAAGACATCTGAATATCATCTATAGGTTATTCCAACGATGGAAGACATGAAAAATACCAACCATCACGTGTTCAGCACCAGGGACAGGGCCTGTCTTTGAAGTTTTGCAAAGAATGGAATTGTATGGGTTTTCGGCTGTGCAATAATGGGGAATATTTAATACTTGCAATGGTTAAGCCACACCAGTTTAATATGTTGGGTCATGGCTCATGACTACATGTACTATGAGCATTTGGGGCTATCATAGGATGCCTAGGCCTGTTCTACATCTTCTTTTTTTTTTGGCCTGTCGCTGCATATTTTTTCTGAAAAAATCTAAGAACCAACAAATCAAATTGGTATGGCCTCAGGCCTTGGAAAAAGAATGATGTCTCCATTTTTCCAACCGATCTTAGCAAAAACCTGCCGACCCTACCTTTTTTTCGATCAACAGCTGGTAAATTTTTGATCTGACATCTGAATTTTAAACGCTCTGAAGTCTGAAAAGTCATTTAAAGTCAATTTTTTAAAGTAAATTGGGTGAAATATTTTTCCACAAGCAAACAAACTTTATTTGTTGGATAATTTCAGCGGAAAAAAGAATTTAAAAAAATAAATCCCTACCTACCAACCATAGTTTTTTTCAGGTCTGAAACTGGAAACACCATGTCGATTTTCCTAGACCTAATAATGAAATATATGAGATAAATAAAATAGAATAAATAAAACAAAATGCTTACCTCCATGTCTTCAGCACTAAGGACAGGCCCTGTCTTTGAAAGTTTGCAAAGGGGATTTTATTGGTTTTTTATTTGATAAAATGTGTAGATGAAAAATAGTAATAACCACATGTTCAGCACTAGGGACAGGCCCTGTCTTTAATGTTTTGTAAAAAAAAAAAGAAGGGAATTCTATTAGTTTTCAGGTCTGCATGAAAGTCACCATTTACCACCAGATGAAGACATGAACCATGACTTGAAGCAGTTCTGCCTCATCCAATTATTACAGATGCTCTTGCCCCGGGAGATTATCCTGCACCAAAATGTGCTGCATCAAATTCATAGTGTGGATTACCATGGAGCAACCATTATGTACCCCAAATGACTTTTAGCAGAAGCTATCTTGGTAAAGTGGCTTGTGGGCTCTGTCACATTTTTACTCAATCACCATTTCTGACTAAAGTATCTCAACTAAAGTGTGTTATGTCTGATAATATGTGCGTACACATAGATTAACTGTGGCATCTAATGGGTCTATGTCATGATATTCATTTAGGGCTTGAAATACGTTCTTCAAAACTGGTGCAGGTAACATTCAAAATAATCTGTTACCGTAAATTTTACCTGCACCACTCAGAATTTAGGAAGTATGGATCATACAAAAACTGTTCAGAAACATTTGCCATTTATTATGTTTACCGAAGGAAAACATTGTTTTTACTCAATTTCCTCTTCCTCTTCTCCAAACACTAACCTCTGACCTGGCCAATGACATGATTTGTTGATGTCTGTCACCATGGTGACTGGTGATGGGTTACATAATGTTGCAAACTTCATGGTCTGCTCTGCTCCTGTCACCATAATACTAGTAGTACATGTATGTGAATATGTTTGAGTAAAAATTAACAGGGCAGACCATGTCCGAAGGTAAACATTATGCATTTGCTTTGCAAATGTTAAATACTTCTCTAGTTTCTTTTATACTTCATAGGTGGTGAAAGACTTAGTCAATACATCTTTACATACATTTTGCATATAAACACAGTATATGAACAATTGCAGTTAGATGTAGGTTGACAACAGAAATACCTGCACAGCTCCAATTTTACCTGACACTATTTTGAGCCTTGTACAAGTACATGTAGATTGTTACCACTGATACTATTGTGCTCTAATGGGAAAAAGTATTTGCCAGTGATTTCAAATTAGAATTTGGCTTCCAAATCACATTAGCTAGCGTGAGAACAATCCTTTGGTGTATGAGAGCCTATTCCAAATCCCTCTATGTACTTGCTAATGGAATTTGTCTCTGCAACATTTGCTTCATCACGTTATTACTCCGTGAAGGAGGTCAGGACCTCCGGACGGAGTGTTGTAATCGGCTGATTTTTCATGTTCGCAGTCAAAACACTGGGTTCTCTTTGTGTAATCGGCACGCAATTTTATACGCCGTCTGCGGGCATGCCCGTGTTGATGCACGAATGTGTATTTTTGCCGTTGCTGCTTTCGCGGTCAATGTAATATCGCAGACGCACCCCTACAATTACGAGGCGAATTGGAATGGTCCAGAAAAACGCGTTGTTTGGAATAGCAGTGGGGTTCAAAAAAGTTCATGCAGATACGGGGTGGTTTTTATAAGTGGTTCCAGATGTTTTTGCCCATGGTTAAGAGATGCCAAGTTTTTTGGAAGATGTTCGCAGCCAAAACGCATTCTTCCGTACGTCGCATTTCTGTGTAATTTCGCATGTGGTGTTGCATTATGTCCGGGATGATGCACGTCTTTTTATTTTTACCGTAGCTGTTTTGATATTGGAGTAAATGCTTATTTTCGAAACATCCCCATTTCTTTGAAATGGTTTCGTCCGTTTATGCAACTGTTACTGCGCTAATGACGACCAGTCGCGCTGTCCTGATACACCGCGAATGTGCGAGTGTTCCCTGTAGACAGTCCCGGGAGTCATTTTTTTCGCACATTCCAGGAGCCAAACCAAAATACGTTCATGAACCGAGTCCAAAAAACCGAAACGTGAAAATCGGATGATCGGACCTGATGTACATTTCTCTTTCTATAGATTGTACACACAATACACACATCTTTAGATAATCTGGCCATGGCAGGTTAAAAAAAAGTAACCCTGAATCATACTAGATTAGCGTAAATGCATGTTAATGCGTTCAAAAACAAGAAAAAATTGTTTCCGGGTATTAATCTCTTGAATCACGGCGCTGAATATTGACGCAAAAATATTTCGGGCATCGCGCGCCCTTCCCGCGTCACGTGTAGGCATCTCGCATCTCTGATTGGTTGTTGCGTCTTAAGATGACTGAGCCGACGCGCGTTTAAACAATTTTTCTT